AGTGACTGTCCAACGTGTATCTCACACCTGGGGGCACAGCCTTGAGATGATAATGATGATACTGGTTTTAAAAAGAAAAAAAATGTTCAGACTGCTGAATCCTGGAGTATATCTCTGCCTGGCAGGCTAAAATACAATTCTCTTCTTATTCCCTGAAAACGAAAGAATGGAGTCCTTAAAAAAGCAAATGGTGTGAAGAGTGATGTTTTTACACTGGATACTGAGACACATCGTGATGGGGGTCTCTGGGGGCAGCTCTGCTCATGACTCCGGAGGTCACTGTGGGGAGATGTTTTCTAGGTGACCCCCCCCACCCAAAGACTCCAACCTGGAGGCATTCACGTGTCCTGAGACCACCTGCGAGGCGCAGACTAGGGGCTGGGACAAGAATCAAGATTAAAGGGGAAATGGCCGGGCGCAGTGGCTCACGCCTGTAATCCCAGCACTTTGGGAGGCCAAGGCGGGTGGATTACTTGAGGTCAGGAGTTCGAGACCAGCCTGGCCAACACAGTGAAACCCTGTCTCTACTAAAACTACAAAAATTAGCCAGATGTGGTGACTCATGCCTGTAGTCCCAGCTCTTCGGGAGCCTGAGGCAGGAGAATCGCTTGAACTTGGGAGGCAGAGGTTGCAGTGAGCCGATCATGCCACTGCACTCCAGCCTGGGCAATAGAGCAAGACTCCATCTCAAAAAAAAAAAAAAAAAAAAAAGCTTAAAGGGAAAATGAACACAGAGAAGAAGAATAAATTGCACTGTTACACTGTAAGCCTTTGAAGAGTTTTCTGTCTAAAACCAGAGACTGAAGAAACAAGATTAACTCCGAAACAGCACATGGGAGCTGGCAGGAGCCAGTGGTGGGCAATCAGGAAATGCTGTCGGAGGGAGCAACATGTAATTTGGGCTTTGAGGACCGGGTAGTTCTGTGACTGGAGAAGTGGAGGAGGGTCATTTCTAGCAACAGGAACAGTATATGCATAAGCAGACAGAGGCAAAAGAACGTGGCTGGGGCTTGAGATATGTAGCAATAAATGAGAATGCAAAGATGAAGGTAAGTTGGGCTAGATTTCCAAGAGCCTTGAATGCCATGCCCAGAAGTTCGTGCTTGCTCTTCTAAGAATTCAGGTGCTCCAGAAGAATTCTGAGCAAGAGAAAGAGTGACATGGTCATTGGCTTTGGCCACTGTGTGCATAAAACATGGAAGAAGAGAGAGACAAGGGAATGAGGAGCAAGCTGGGAGATGGGGGATGGGGGATGTCACCCAGGAACGGATGGTGGTATGTTAAGAAAGGTGACCCACTGGGGACGGGGATAGAGGACAGGCAGTTGAACATGACTCTCAGGTTTCCGGTGTGGACAACTGGATGGGTCATGAGTGCCATGAACCACAAGCTATTCATGGTCCCACTCGATACCCTCCTTTTGGGGGGCCTGAGTCATGGTTGGCCAAGGGTGTCATGGCATCTCTGGGGTCTGCATTGCTAAGCTCAGTTCCAATAGATCTTGGACTGAACTTCTGTGCGGTCCTCTCTGGCAAAGATGGGCTCAGAGCGCCTTGGAGCAATGCAGCAGAGATCATGGCAGCAGCCGCATCAGCATCTGAAAGGAGCAGCACGCGGTTATTTTCCCCACTGCGGCCTCAGGGAATACGGTGGGGGAGGAGAGATGTAGTATAAGGGCCACTTTAAGCATCTTCCAGAATCCCATTGGAAGGGGGAGAAAATCCCATTTTTTGAAGAGCCCACTGATACCACCTTTAAAAAGAATACACAGGGGGGCCAGGTGCAGTGGCTCACACCTGTAATCCCAGCACTTTGGGAGGCCAAGGTGGGTGGATCACGAGGTCAGAAGATCGAGACCATCCTGGCTAATATGGTGAAACCCCGTCTCTACTAAAAATACAAAACAATTAGCCGGGCGTGGTGGTGGGTGCCTGTAGTCCCAGCTAGTTGGGAGGCTGAGGCAGGAGAACGGCGTGAACCTGGGAGGTGGAGCTTGCAGTGAGCCGAGATCGCGCCATTGCACTCCAGCCCAGGTGACAGAGCAAGACTCCGTCTCAAAAAAAAAAGAGAAAAAAGAAAAAGAGCTGTGACCAGGCACACTGGCTCACACCTGTATTCCCAGCACTTTGGGAGGGTGAGGAGGGCAGACTGCTTGAGCTGAGGAGTTTGAGACCAGCATGGGCAACGTGGTGAAACCCCATCTGTACAAAAAAGACAAAACCATTAGCCGGGTGCAGTGGCATGTGCCTGTAGTCCCAGCTACTTGGGAGGCTGAGGTGGGAGGATGGCTTTAGCCCAGGAGGTGGATGTTGCAGTGAGTCAAGATCGTGCCACTGCACTCCAGCCTTGGTGACAGAGCCAAACCCTGTCTCAAAAAAAAAAAAAAAAGAGAAGAAAAGCTATGCAGAAATGGGGGTGGGAAATCAGCCAACCCCCTTGTGCTGGGTCTCAGGGACACTCCATGCAGCTGCTGAGGCCCAGCCAGATGGCAAAGGGCCCTCAACCAACCCTGGGACCAGAACCACAAAAAGCCACCTACTTACTGGCTCCTGAGCCCAAGCTTAACAGGTGAAACGGACCACTCTTCACCAGGAAGGGCAGGGCTGTGCCAAGCTCACCCCAGACTTCTAGGCCTGGGAGGGTAGAGTCCCATGGAGCTGTGGGCTGCCCCCTACCCAACCTGACCTCTGCTTCCTCTCTTCCCTTCTCCCCACCCTAACATTCCTCCACAGTGGCAATAGCAAAGGAAAAGACATCAACACGATTAAATCCCTCCGAGTCCTCCGGGTGCTACGACCTCTTAAAACCATCAAGCGGTTGCCAAAGCTCAAGGTGAGATTGAGAGATGGTGGGGTGAGGTGGGGGGACTGTCACGGTTATCATGTACGGTTGAGCAGGTTGCACACTGCTCAAGGACAACACATTAAAGGAGGTGCTGATAACATCCTAGCCATCGTATATGGATATTTGTATTATTACAACTTCCCAGCAGATGGCAGTAAAGTGAGTTGATCTAAAATAATCTGTGTATTATGACAATTTTTCTTTAGATGAAATGTCTCATAGTTAAGATCCCTTTTTCTAATTCACATGAAGGCATCATATGGATTTGAAAGGGTATAATCGTCATCTGGGAAGCAGGAACTAGATTTCTTGTTCCATAAAATTTTGACTTTTCATCTACCTATTCTAGGCTCTAATAGCTCCCATTCCAAAACAGCATAAACCAGCATTTCCCAAAAGTCTGTCATTGAAAAAGAAAAAAAAATTAAAGGAAATAAAATCCAGTCATTAGAGCACCCACTTTCAGTGTATGCTTCACCTGAGGGTCCCCAGTATTATCTCTTATGTAATATGTTTCTTTAAATCAAATTACACCTGTAATCCCTGCATTTTGGAAGACCACGGCAGGAGTATTGCTTGAGCCCAGGAGAATGAGACCAGCCTAGGCAACATAGTTAGACTCTGTCTCTATCAAAAATTAAAGAAGAAAACAGATACTGTTATTGATATCTAACCAAATATGGTGCCTGCCCAAGGCTTTGAGCATTGACAACTGCTCTTTCTTGGTTAAAGAGGGAAAGTGTCAATGGTAGGTGTTAACATAGTAGCAATTTCTCCTTCACTCAAAAGGACTGAGAGAATTGGAGAGGAAGTAACTTTGTTACCTTGTTTTTCTGTGTTGGGCTCACTTTGTATCACTTAAAAGCATCTCTGGTATCCCATTTGGGAGTTTTAGATCCATAGAAAGCCAGGATTGAGTCCAACTTCTCCAACACTTATTTCTGAAAGCTGGGGGGCCTTACCCTAAGGACTTGACTTATGACCTTGCCTGTAAAATGGGAATGATAGTGGCTGGACGTGGTGGCTCACGCCTGTAATCCCAGCACTTTGGGAGGCCAAGGCGGGCAGATCACGAGGTGGAGAGATCGAGACTATGGTGAAACCCTGTCTCTACTAAAAATATAAAAAAGTAGCCGGGCACGGTGGTGGGCACCTGTAGTCCCAGCTACTCAGGAGGCTGAGGCAGGAGAATGGCGTGAACCCGGGAGACAGAGCTTGCAGTGAGTGCTGAGATCGTGCCACTGCACTCCAGCCTGGGCGACAGAGCAAGACTCCATCTCCAAAAAAAAAAAAAAAATGGGAATGATAATGGCAGTATTCTGGTATTATGGGCCACTGGAGGCAGAAGGTTGGGCAGGTCCTCAGCCCCTCATGTTCTCTGTCAACCCCACCCCACAGGCTGTGTTTGATTGTGTGGTGAACTCGCTTAAAAACGTCTTCAACATCCTCATCGTCTACATGCTATTCATGTTCATCTTCGCCGTGGTGGCCGTGCAGCTCTTCAAGGGGAAGTTCTTCCACTGCACTGACGAGTCCAAGGAGTTTGAGAAAGATTGTCGGTGGGTCTCAGCTTTCTGGCACATTCCCATGGAACTAGCAGGTGGACAGGGGGGAAGTGGCTAGAGGCATCGGCCACTTGGGCTCAGAGACTGGAGAAGTGGTGAGCCTTGGGAGTGACTCAGTTGCAACCAGCTTGGATCTTGGGTAGAAAGAAAACCGGTTTTAGAATTTGAGTCACCACCCATAGCCACAGGATGAGTCATAAGCAAATTGCTTGACCTTTCAGTCACCGCCCTTGTCATGTGAGGGATATTAATACACGTCCACAGTTCCTTACTTGAAATCTTTACCGGCAGATGTGTTTTAAAGTTGAGAATATTTTGAGATTTTAGAAAGGTTGGACTGTGTACATCCCATGTCGGACATGACATCCTCAGCTGGGTCTAAGGCAGCCCTATAATCAAACACAATATTTCTGCCATAAAATGTATATTCACACCAAATGGAGTAAATAACAAGTATAAAGAGCTTCATGTCCAATCAGATCAGGTTTCATTGCCAAATAGGTAAGAGGCCAGGTGCAGTGGCTCACACCTGTAATTCCAACACTTTGGGAGGCTGAGGTGGGAGGATTACTTGAGGCCAGGAGTTGGAGACCAGGTTGGGCAACATAATGAGAGCCCATCCCTACAAAATAAATTTTAAAAGTTAGCAGGGCATGGTAGCACACACCTGTAGTCCCAGCTACCTGGGAGGCTGAGGCGGGAGGATTGTTTAAACATAGGAGTTCAACGCTGCAATGCACTATGATGGTACCACTGCACTCCAGCCTTCGTGACAGAGTGAGACCTTGCTTCTCAAAAATACATACATATAGGCCGGGCGCGGTGGCTCACACCTGTAATCCCAGCACTTTGGGAGGCCGAGGCGGGTGGATCACAAGGTCAGGAGATCGAGACCACCCTGGCTAACACGGTGAAACCCCGTCTCTACTAAAAATACAAAAAACTAGCTGGGCATGGTGGCAGATGCCTGTAGTCCTAGCTACTCGGGAGGCTGAGGCAGGAGAATGGTGTGAACCCGGGAGGCAGAGCTTGCAGTGAGCCCAAATTGGGCCACTGTACTCCAGCCTGGGCAACAGAGCGAGACTCTGTCTCAAAAAAAAATATATATATATATACACATACATACACACACACAATACATATATATATGTGTGTGTGTGTATATATATATGTATGTGTATATATAGTGATATTGTTACCAGTGTAAAGTGGCATTTTGCAACACATGATAGCCTGTTGTTATCTTGATGGCTATTTATTGAAATTAGGAGGATGCCAGATGTCTGGGTAGGAGTCTGGAACTAACCCTTGTTTCCTGCCTTGAAAAGGAGTAGCAACCTCCCTTAGCCTGATGAACCTGTGAATGTCCGATGTGCCTCTCTGCCTCCTCCTAAACTCCCCCCACCCCACCCCCAGCAAGCCTGAGGCTCTCACCCCGAGGACTAGAAGTTATCACGTTGGAAGCGTTGGGCCCTGGGTCAGCTCTCCCACCAGGAGTAAGGTCGTGCCATCACCCATGGATTTATCACGAAGTAGATGCACACGTAATCCCCCACGAAGCACAGGGACGCATGGTGGCAGGGTGGTGAGCCACTGCTTCCCAGGCCGAGGGAGGCAGCCTAGACTGGTGGACCCCTCTTCTTTTCCCTCCCCCTGTCTCTGATAACCAAAGACAAGTGCAAGACGGCCCCTCTTTCCCGTTTGCTAACAGTCCCCACTCTCTGTGGCAGAGGCAAATACCTCCTCTACGAGAAGAATGAGGTGAAGGCGCGAGATCGGGAGTGGAAGAAGTATGAATTCCATTATGACAACGTGCTGTGGGCTCTGCTGACCCTCTTCACCGTGTCCACGGGAGAAGGCTGGCCACAGTAAGTGGCCCGACTAGAAACCTACCCAGGAGGAACCCCAGGGAGCAGGAGGATAAAGGGCCTGAGAGCTTAGCAATAAGAAAGGTCTTGGAAGCTGGGCATGGTGGCTCACGCCTGTAATCCCAACACTTTAGGAGGCCAAGGCAGGTGTATTGCTTAAGGCCAGGAGTTTAAGATCAGCCTGAGCATCATGGCAAAACTCTAAAAATACTAAAAATACAAAAAAAAAAAATAAAAAAAACAGCCAAGCATGGTGGCTCACACCTGTGGTCCCGGCTACTCAGGAGACTGAGACAGGAGAATCCCTTGAACCCAGGAGGCAGAGGTTGCAGTGAGCTGAGATTGCGCCACTGCACTTCATCCTGGGTGACAGAGCAAAACTATGGCCTCCTCCCCACCCTGCAAAAAAAAAAAAAAAAAAAAAAAAAATTTGAACCATTTGCGGTGGCTCGTACCTGTTATCCCAGCTACTCAGGAGGCTGAGGTGGGAGGATTGCTTGAGCCTAGGAGTTCAAGGCTGCAGTGAGCTGTGATTATGCCATTGCACTCCAGCCTGGACAACAGAAGGAGACCCCATCTCAAAAAACAAAAAGAAGAAGAAATTGGTATTTTTTCATCATGGACTTTTTGCATTAATTTTGATTTTTAAAAATATTGGAGCAAAAGATTATCTTGATTACTGAGATTTTCAGTACCCCCTTAATTCGCACCCAAAACAAATGCCTCCCTCCCTCACCTTGTCCAAGTCGTAGTCTTCCTCTCAGAGGTCTGGAAATGCCAGGCCAGAAGCTTGGTAGATTCCAGCATGTACCCTCGTTATCCTCACCTCCCTGCCTCTCTTAGCAAATATGCCAACCTGAACATGCCCTTCTGCCCACCCTCACACACATCCAGTACTCACACACATGGGTATAGTGCTAACCCACAAGGCCCCTTTGAGCAAAGTTTTTTAAAACACCCCTTTCTCAACAGGCTTCACTTCCATCTGTCTGAAAATCATCACAATAGACTTAAATGATTTTGTTCAAACAAGGCACTGGAGGGCCACCTGCCAAAAAATTGTCATCATGAATACACAAGTCTATCATGCCTATCATGTGAAAGTAACACTTAGACACAGCCTTTGAGCAGTGCACAACCTGCACAACTGTACAGAGCTTCTGTGCACTTACCTACTCTCATACATATCCTCATTGCACCACCTGTGCTCAAATACCCACTCCACATTCATACACCCATCTCCACTCCCTCCATTGCCACAACCTGTCTTTAAATCCTAACTTGGCCACTTCTAAGTGGGTGATCTTCAGCACGTCCCTTTAAATTGCCCAACCTCAGTTTCCTCATATGCAAACTGGAGCCAGTAATAACCTCCCTGAGAGGGTTGCTGAGCAGGTGGGAATGAATCGTTGAATATTGTTTCCAGCACACAGCAAGCCCTTCATGCACTGCAGTAGAAATAACTGACATTGGCTGGGCGTGGTGGCTCACACCTGTAATCTCAGCAGTTTGGGAGGCCAAGGCAGGTGGATCACCTGAGGTCAGGAGTTCAAGACCAGCCTGACCAACATGGTGAAACCCCGTCTCTACTAAAAATACAAAATTAGCCAGGCATGGTGGCGCATGTCTGTAATACCAGCTACTTAGGAGGCTGAGGCAGGAGAATCGCTTGAACCCAGGAGGCGGAGGTTGTAGTAAGCTGAGATCACACCATTGCACTCCAGCCTGGGCAACGAGAGCAAAACTCCATCTCAAAAAATTAAAATTGGACCGAGCATGGTGGCTCATGCCTATAATCCCAGCACTTTGGGAGGCCAAGGCGGGCAGATCCCGAGGTCAAGAGATCAAGACCATCCTGGCTAACATGATGAAACCCCGTCTCTACTAAAAATACAAAAAAAAAAAAAGTTAAAATTAAGAAATAACTGACATTGTTGTCAAGCTTTCAAAAAACAGTGACTACTTAAATTTCTTTTTCATTTCCCTCTATTCCTGTTCCGCCATCTTACTTCCACCCTCTCTCCACCTTCCTTATCACCCCTTGGGTCCTTGTCTGTCTCCTTCCTGTTCCTTCCCTCTCCCTGCCCCATTCCTTTCAGGGTCCTCAAGCACTCAGTGGACGCCACCTTTGAGAACCAGGGCCCCAGCCCCGGGTACCGCATGGAGATGTCCATTTTCTACGTCGTCTACTTTGTGGTGTTCCCCTTCTTCTTTGTCAATATCTTTGTGGCCTTGATCATCATCACCTTCCAGGAGCAAGGGGACAAGATGATGGAGGAATACAGCCTGGAGAAAAATGAGGTGCCACTTCCAATTCCATCTGTCCTTTAAAAACTGGGGACACAAACTTTAAAACACATACACACAACACCCAGGAACCCGTTTCTAGGGGCACCTAGGGGAGAGAACAGAGGCATCCTCCAAACCGAATTCAGGGCTTCAGGGCAGTCCTTCATGGAGTTCCAGAGGAAACAGGTCATATAGTGTATGTATCAGTCAGTTTAGTCTGGGTTGTACCGCAGTAACAAGCAACCCCAGATTTCATTGCCAAATATCCACAAAGGGACTTATTTTTTGCTCACACTACATGTCGAGATCAGCTGTGGATCTTCTGCTTGTTATCTTTATTCTGGTTCCCAGGCTGGCAGAGCGGCAGAGCAGCCTCCCTCTGAGATGCTCCAGATGAAAAAGAGAGTATGTCAGACTGAGGCTCAGCTCTTCATGCTTGTGCTCAAAAATGACACACGTCACTTCTGCTCACATTTCATCAGCCAAAGCAAGTCACACATCCATTCTGATGTCAGTGGAGTGGGGAAATACGATCTCCCCTAGTGAAGGGTGGTGAATATTTATGAATGAAAAGCCAAGCCAGGTGTGGTGGCTCACACCTGTGATCCCAACATTTTGGGAAACTGAGGCAGGAGGATCACTTGAGCTTAGGAGTTTGAGACCAGCCTGGCCAACACAGCAAGACCCCATCTCTACTACAAATCAAAAAAAAAAAATAGCTAGGCATGATGGTGCACACCTTTAGTCCCAGTAACACGGGAGGCTGAGGTGGGAGGACGCTTGAGCTTGGGAGTTCGAGGCTTCAGTGAGCTATCATCATGCCGGTGCACTCCAGCCTGGGCAACAGAGCAAGACCCTGTCTCAAAAAAAGAAAAGGAAAGAAAATCCAGTCCCCAGTCTACCAGAGAGTATAGACATGATTCTTTGCCTCTCTGGCATCATTCAAGCTAAATAGAGGACTTAGAATATATCCTCTGCTCCCTTGACCCTTAAGACTTAATAACCACTATTCCTCCCTCTCCCTCCCTCGAAGAGAAGAAGCAGCAGCAAAGTATTCAGTAAGAAAGAATGGGCTGGGCGCAGTGGCTCACGCCTATAATCTTAACACTTTAGGAGGCCAAGGCAGGAGGATTGCTTGAGCCCAGGAGTTCAAGAACAGCCTGAGCAACATAGTGATACCCCATCTCTATGATTTAAAAAAAAAAAAAAAAAGTTTTAATTAGCTGGGTGTGGTGGTGCATGCCTGTAGTCCCAGCTACTCAGGAGGCTGAAGTGGGAGGATCACTTGAGCCCAGGAGGTCAAGGCTGCAGTGAGCTGTGATTGCACTGCACTCCAGCCTAGGTGACAAAGCAAGCCCCTGTCAAAAAAAGAAAAAAGAAAAGAAGGAAGGAAGGAGGGAGGGAGAGTGGGAAGGAAGAAGGAAGGAAGGAAGGAAGGAAGGAAAGAGAGAGAAAGAGAAAGAAGGGAGGGAGGGAAGGAGAGAGGGAGGGAGGGAAGGAGAGAGGGAGGGAGGGAAGGAGAGAGGGAGGGAGGGAAGGAGAGAGGGAGGGAGGAAAAGGAAGGAAGGAGAAAGAAAGGGAGGGAAGGAAAGAAGGAAGAAGAGAGAAAGGAAAGGAAAGGGGAAAGGGAGGAAGGAATGAAGGGAAGGAAGGAAAAAGGGAATGAAGGAGGGAGGGAGGAAAGGGAGGGAGGAAAGGGAGGGAGGGAGGGAGGGAAAGAAGGATAAGGCTTCAGTTTGATTTGGCACACTTGGTAGCTGTGTCACCTCAGGCAAGTGGTTTAACCTCTCTAAGCCTCTATTTTTGTCATCTGCAAAGTGAGGTCATTGATAGTACCCACTTCCCATGTTTGCATTAGCCATGCAATAATGGGGAAATGTCAGTGCAAAATTGGCAAATGGTGACGTTTCAAGCAACTGTAGCTGTTAGGATAAGAAAGCAATGGTGAGGGCCAGGTGCGGTGGCTCACACCTGTAATCCCAGCACTTTGGGAGGCTGAGACAGGCGGATCAGGAGGTCGGGAGATCGAGACCATCCTGGCTAACACGGTGAAACCCCGTCTCTACTAAAAATACAAAAAATTAGCCGAGCGTGGTGGCGGGCACCTGTAGTCCCAGCTACTCGGGAAGCTGAGGCAGGTGAATGGCGTGAACCCGGGAGGCGGATGTTACAGTGAGCCGAGGTCGTGCCACTGCACTCTAGCCTGGGTGACACAGCAAGACTCTGTCTCAAAAAAAAAAAAAAAAGAAAGCAATGGTGAGAAGGAGGAGGGAGCCCCCCAGGAATCCTGGCTGGGGGCAAGAGAGGCAGAAACTCAAGCAGAAGCACTTGAGAACCATGACGAGTTAGACAGAGGGTGCCCGGTATACAGCCACCTTCCTGCTGCCTCTGCCACTCTCACCACTGGCCTCTCTCCCACAGAGGGCTTGCATCGATTTCGCCATCAGCGCGAAGCCGCTGACCCGACACATGCCACAGAACAAGCAGAGCTTCCAGTACCGCATGTGGCAGTTCGTGGTGTCTCCACCTTTCGAGTACACGATCATGGCCATGATCGCCCTCAACACCATCGTGCTTATGATGAAGGTAAGCGCCCTACACCAACCCCCAGCACTGCTTAAGCCCCATCTCCTTCCTGCCTCTACCCTCGTAAAATGAAACCATCTGCAGTTTCCCAGACAGACCACATTCTGGATCACCTCTGAGATTTTGTTCCTGCTGTTCCCTCTACCTGACACACGGTTCCCACCACTCCCCCTGGCCAGCTTCTTCCTCCCAGCTGTACCTGCAGACCTCTTCCTCCAGAAAGCCTTCCCTGACCACCCAAGACTGCTTGAGGTGCCCGTCTTAGCAGGCATCCTATCTTTATGTCGCCTGCCACAAAAATCAGCGTCAGGTTGCACAACGGTGTCCCCACCCACTTGTGAGGACCTCATCCCAGAATTCCTAGAGTCCAACAAGGATCTGGCTCGGACAGAACAAGAAGCTCTCTATAAATGTTTGATTAATGAAATGAGGGAGCTGGGCGCGGTGGCCCATGCCTGTAATCCCAGAACTTTGGGAGGCCGAGGCGGGCAGATCACCTGAGGTCGCGAGTTCAAGACCAGCCTGAACAACATGGAGAAACTCCATCTCTACTAAAAATATAAAATCAGTTGAGCATAGTGGTGGGCATCTGTAATCCCAGCTACTCAGGAGGCTGAGGCAGGAGAATCGCTTGAACCCGGGAGGCGGAGGTTGCTGTGAGCCGAGATCGCGCCATTGCACTCCAGCCTGGGCAACAAGAGCGAGACTCCGTCTCAAAAAAAAAAAAAGAGAGAAAAGAAAAGAAATAGAAATGAGGGAGGAGGGGTAGGCGAGGGCCCTGAAATCCCCAGGGACAAGGAGCTGCTTCCAAAAAAAAACTCTGAGGCCGGGCGCGGTGGCTCAAGCCTGTAATCCCAGCACTTTGGGAGGCCAAGACGGGCGGATCACGAGGTCAGGAGATCGAGACCATCCTGGCTAACAT